ACCGTTGTCAGTGTTGTCACTGTTTTTACCGTTGTCAATGTTGTCACCGTTGTCACCTTTGTTACTGTTGTCACCGTTGTCACTGTTTTTGCCGTTGTCACTGTTGTCTTTGATTTCACCCTTGTCAATGTTGTGACCGTTGTCACTGTTGTCACTGTTGTCACCGTTGTCTCTGATGTCACCGTTGTAACTATTGTCACCGTTGTCACTGTATTTACCATTGTCACTGTTGTTACTGTTGTCAATGTTGTCACCGTTGTCACTGCCGTCACCGTTGTTACTTTTGTCACCGTTGTCAATGTTGTTACCGTTGTCACTGTTGTCTCTTTTTTCACTGTGTCAATGTCACCGTTGTCACTGTTGTCACCATTGTCTTCGTTGTCACTGTTGTCACCGTTGTCACCGTTGTCACTTTTGTCACCGTTGTCACTTTTGTCTCTGTTGTCACTGATGCACCATTGTCGCTGTTGTCACCGTTGTGACTGTTGTGACTGTTGAGATTGTTGTAACCGTTTTCACCGTTGTCAATGTTGTCACTGTTATTATTGTTGTCACCGTTGTCAGCGTTGTCACTTTTGTCGCCCTTGTCGCTGTTGTCACTGTTGTTGCTGTTGTCATTGCTGTCACCATTGTCGCTGTTTTCACTGTTTTTACTGTTGTCGCTGTTTTCACTGGTTTTACCGTTGTCACTGTGTCAGTGTGGTCACTTTTTTCACTTTTGTCGCTGTTGTTGCTTTTGTTACCATTGTTACCACTGTCACCGTTGTCACTGTTGTCACTGTTGTCATTGTTGTTACCATTGTCACTGTTGTTACCATTGTCACCGTTGTCACCGTTGTCAGTGTTGTCACCGTTGTCACTGTTGTCACTGTTGTCACCGTTGTCACCGTTGTCACCGTTGTCACAGTTATCACTGTTGTCACTGTTGACACCTTTGTCACCGTTGTCACTGTTTATTCGTTGTCGCTGTTGTCACTGTAGCACCGTTGTCGCTGTTGTCACTGTTGTCACTGTTGTCACCGTTGTCACTGTTGTCACCGTTGTCACTGTTGTCACAGTTATCACTGTTGTCACTGTTGACGCCTTTGTCACCGTTGTCACTGTTTATTCGTTGTCGCTGTTGTCACTGTAGCACCGTTGTCACTGTTGTCACCGTTGTCACTGTTTTCACCGTTGTCACCGTTGACACTACAGCTGCCCCCGCTCTGTACATTGTCGGTCAATAGTATTCTTGCTCGTTGAGTACCTCTTGAAAATATACCCGTCCGATTCATAATGAAGATTTTCACACATATTATTTCGTACAATAGGTGAGATAAAACTGAACAGGAAACTCAAGGTTCCATGCACAGTTTCCGTTCGATTTACACAGCTTTGATCAAAACATTCTCAGTTTCGAGAATAGTTTATTCTAAACCATAAAAAAAGTTTTAATTAAAAGTTGAATTTTTCGCTATTTCTCTTGCACTTTTTACATTCAGTTTATTTTATTTGCCGGAAAGTAAGCCTTAGAAATTAAAAGGACTTTAGATCAATTCACGCTCGCGCATCCTAGTCTTATTTTAAATTTTAAAGCGGAAGGACATCTGTGAGCAGGGACTAAGTAAGCACAGGATTTGATTGTTCGCGAATTGCTGTAATCGTCCATCGTTCTCCTGGTAATAAGCTAGCCGTTGATCCACTCGTATTGCTTGTTTGGGGATGAGTCTTATTCCTGTCAAAGAGAGAGAAAGGGTGTCTAGCAAGGTTTCCAATCAAAGATTTGTGAACTCGTGTCTGGCAAAGTCTCCAAGTGTTTATATATACACAGTTATACGCACCTTATAACTTCATCTGCGCTTAGCGAGTGTCTTTTGTTCCATAACTTTCCAAACAACTGCTCCACAGAATGTATCTGATGACACGTAACGCAAAAGAGTATCGAGGTATGACTGCACAATAAATGTCACAATAAATGTCACAAAATCTACCTAAGGGGTCCCTTCGGGATTTTCTGTCTTTACGTCATCCTAACCATTTCGTACTTGCGGGCGCAAACGATAGAAAGGTCATCATTACCTACCGATTCCTAGCGGCCCCTGTTCAAGCAAATCGATATTTTTTCTGGCATACTGACTGTATATTTCAACACTAAGTACTTTCCTTAATATACGCGCGAGTTACTAGGGTCCCTCCTCGGGATTTCGCCTTCTGGGGGAAGGTTCGATAACGTAGTACTTTTTTCATTAGGTGATGTTGTGGATGTACAATTAGTAACACCGTAACCTGGGAAATATTTCGCGACGCCACCGTTTCCCAGATCTAGGTAGTGCTTCTCACTGGTGGTTTGCTTCCTCAACCAATCAGAAGGTGGTGACTGGTGAACGTCATCAGTATAGAATTTCTGCAATCGTTTAAGCTCTCTGAGGCGCTCTGTTGGCCACCCGAGTGCCCCAGAGAGCTGGCTAGCAGGCTTGCCTTTTTTCCAGGCCTTCTCGGTCATGAGTTTTGGTGACGTAGCCTGCGTAGCATAGCGGTTTGGTCGGGCGCGCAAACAACAGTGGAACAAGCCAAGGTGTGCGAAGGGTTGGGTGAAGGTGAGCAAGGGCCGTGATATAAACCGCAGGGGATTTATTGACCGCCAGCGCAAGGGGGTAGTGGTGGGGGAAGAAGAAACTAGAAAATAGTTCTTTATTTTTCTTTCTCGCTCTCCACGCTCGCTTCGGTCGCGAGCTTGCGGGTGTTCTCGTAAAGAACGAAAAGAAAAATAAAATAACGTCTGTGTACAGGCTACATTTGACCCCGTTTTTTGCCTTTTTCAGCCATTGCGGAGCTTGGTCCAAGGCTAGTAAAGAAGGAGAACTTGCATCTGTAATTTTCTATCAAAACAACAACAACAACGGTCATAATCAAAACGGTGGTATGCCTGTGTTAGGGACATCGCAGCAGGGTTTAGAGTTGGGGAGGGGCAAATAGATACCCTGGGTACCTGAGGTATTGTAGTTTCTTTCCTAATTTCTTATATGGCGTTAGAACTGACTTTTTTAATAAAACGTTTTTTAAAAAAAATGAACCAAAGACGGTATAAGGAGATAAGATAGAAATTTTTATGACTCGTAAGTTTTTATTGGTCATGACTTTAGTTTTGAGCCGTTGTGTGTGCGATTGCGTAACCGAAGTCCGAAACTCTGGGTTAACCTGTGCACAGACGCCCCCTTCCCTCAAAAAAAATCGGGGAGAGCTTCTCTCCACGATTTTTTCTGGGGGTTCGTGTCGTCTGTAAACAGGCTACTCCAGGAAACTACAGGAAGAACAAGAGCGATTCCACGAAAATATCAGCGACATAAACTCAACGCCTAGATCAAGACTTTTATTTTGAAGAGAAGTAACTCTAATGAACTAATATTTTCCACAACAGAACTTGTTTCATGATGCAGTGAAACGACTCAGACCACTTCACAGCTTTGCAGGGAATCGACCGCATTTATTCCGGTGTCATCCCATATCTCGTGACAGGACGTGACGCGTGACCGTGACGATAGACGACCGATGAAAGCCACATCAAGTTGTGCAACAATAAGTTTCAACTAACACTTCATTTTCGGAAAACGTTTTACAAAATGGAATCTGTGATTGAAGCAAACAATAAATTCACCGTAGACCTCCACAAAGCCCTCAAAAATGACCAGAACTTCACAAGCAAAAATCTGTTTTACTCACCGAGTAGTTTGAGTATTGCTCTAGCTATGACTTATATGGGAGCGAAGGGGGATACAGCTGTACAGATGGCACTAGCTCTGCACTGGAAAGCGATACCTCAAGAACAACTAAACAGTGAAGAAAAACAGTATCTTCATGCTCTTCAAGAAACAAACGAGCAAGGGAACGAATTGTTGGTGGCAAATCGACTGTTTGCGCAGAAGGGCTTTAGCTTGGTGCAAGAGTTCGTTGAGGGCACGCAGAACAGTGAAGAAAAACAGTATCTTCATGCTCTTCAAGAAACAAACGAGCAAGGGAACGAATTGTTGGTGGCAAATCGACTGTTTGCGCAGAAGGGCTTTAGCTTGGTGCAAGAGTTCGTTGAGGGCACGCAGAAGTATTACGAAGCTGAAATAGCTATGGTAGACTACCAGAAGGATGCTGAAGGCGCAAGGAAAGAGGTGAACGGCTGGGTTGAAGAGAAGACGAAGCAAAAGATTAAGAATTTAATTCCCGAGGGAGTGTTTAACTCGCGTACGAGACTGACTTTGGTGAATGCAATTTACTTCCAGGGTTTTTGGCAAAGTCAGTTTAAAAAAGAGGCAACTTTTCCTCAGCAATTCTTTGTCTCCAAAGATGAAAAAGTGGAAGTGCAAATGATGCACTTAGCAGCAAACTTTAAGCATATTAAGGACAGTGGAGAGCTGGCCTGCCAAGTGCTCGAGCTACCCTACCAAGGAAAGGATCTTTCCATGTTAATTTTTCTGCCCCGTGACACCTATGGGCTGGCCAATTAAGAAGAGAGCCTTACCGATGAAAAATTGCAAAAGGCTTTTGAAACCGTTTCAAAGTCACAACCTCACAATGTTCAAGTATCCCTTCCAAGATTTAAGCTGACCCAACAGTTCCTTCTGAACGAAATCCTAGCTAGAATGGGAGCCACAGATATGTTCAATCAGTTCAAAGCTGATTTTTCAGGCATCACCCTAGGCCCAGAGAGGATCTGTGTGTCTCAAGTTATTCATAAGGCATTTGTGGAAGTTAATGAAAAAGGAACTGAGGCTGCTGCTGCAACAGGTGTGGTTATGATGGCCCCTGCGGGACTGATGATAAATCCCATCTTTTGTGTTGATCACCCATTTTTGTTTATGATTTGCCATAAGAAGTCAAATGCAATTTTGTTCATGGGCCGCATGTTGAAGCCACCATCAAGCACTTGCTAAGCATTCTATGGCAAAGCACTGGATTTAATAAATAAATAAATAAATAAAAATAAATAATTATTTCACTTTCTTGCAGTTAAATAAATACTGAATCAACAAGTGATATATATGACGTATAGAATCTAAAAAATAGAACATAACTATGCTAGGAGTATACAATAAGAGTAATCAAGTTTAAGGATATCTAAATGTAAAAAATTCTTGGCTCTCTTAGTTCTTCTTAATTTTTTTATTGTTCTTTTACTACCAGATCTTAAATTATAAGAGACAGTTCTTGATAGAGATTTGGGAATCAGGCAATGATTAAGTGGGTTATTGTGTTTGCTATATAGTCATATCAGAGACAAATCGACGATCACACAGGGAAACCCTTCTATTTGCTAGAGATGAGACATTTGCCTCTAAAAGGCCTTGATTGTAGGCTGTGCATTCAGGATATATAATTTTGAGTGGTCTCTTTTGAATACAATCTATCCTATCAGACAAGTACTCTGGAATGTCCCACTGGACTTGAATCACATACTCTAAAATTGATCTTACGTTACTTATATACACTTTCAAGTTGTCATGTTTCATGTGGGTTGACGTTTGGGCATTTTATTAGTCTTAGGGCATACAGATGTTTTGCAGCTTTAGCAATGATAATTCAGTCTACATGTGAGTTCCATTTAAGATCTAGTTATTAATCATTGTACATTGATCATAGATCCAGCATATAAAAGAATGACCTTGTCAGAATCCATGCATCTCTTATAAAACAGTTCAAATCATCCTATGTGAATCAACTTATCTTTAGCTATGATATTAATCATTCCTTGATGTAAATAGAGGATCTTGACAAACTGTGAGCCAGCGAGCCATGCGAGTCACGTGAGGCATCGGTAAAAAAATAGGAAACACAGGTAAAAACTGCAAAATTACAGATGAGGAGTTGAGCGCTCATTATACTGATAAGGGTTAAGCACTCATTGTAGTGATTAGGGTTAAGCTTTCATTTTACGGATTAGGGTTAAGCACTCATTTTAGGGCTAGGGTTAAGCGCTGTTTAGGGTTAAACACTTATTTACAATGGTTAGCGTTCAGTTAATGTTTTCCGCATTACTGTTTTCGATTTTTATCGTGTTTTTTTCAATGATTCTTCGATGGACTGCATGGCTCGCTGGCTCGCATTTTATACACACTCTAAATAGATGTATAATATTTTTTTATTGTTCTAAGAGCTCTTAACTGTTTTTTATTTGTTTAGGTAACTTGTAACTTGAGATGAGTATTTTTATCTTTTGAATTTATTGAAGACATCTATTCTATTCTATTCTATTCTCTATTTTTTTATGCCACTTTTAATTTTCTGCTGGCCCCAGACAATTTTATTCTGGGACTTTTTCTCTCGAGGAACTGGTATCTTTTTTTTTCCTTGCTAAATTTATGAAATTATGGAAAGGAAAATTACTTCCTACTCCCTGCCCCTGTTGGATTGCACCTCTATTTTATAATATGTTATTACTAATTGTTTATTATGTGTTGGTGTAAATGGTTCCAAAAGTAACAGCATTATCCAGTCAAAATAAACAGCTCCTTGAACTTGCTACTCTTGGGGTTTTTAAATTTCGGGGTAAATTCTCCATGAAAGTGCACCAGACATTCTGGTATAAACAGCTTAGCAAGCTCCTCCTTTTAATGAAATAAATCATGGAAATCCTTAATTATTTGTTATGGAAAAAGAAGTCACCATGGGAAGCCAACATGCCTAAGTTGTGCTTTCTTTAGTATAGAAGAATTCACCAAGCCATTTGCAATCCTTCTGTCAGTTTTGTTGAAGCATGGTATCCTATACTTTCACCGGTTCTTCAATATTGTATTCCAATATCCACTGGTAACTAAGATTTTTTATTCTGTAACATGACCCACTTATTAAAATTTTGCGGAGAGAAATGCTCTGGCAAGTTTCCTTGTGCATGTTTTCAACATTATACACAGGAGCAAATGCATACTACTAATTAAATTTCCAAAGTTTTAGTGGGGCATGGTAACAGGCCACGCCCCCGCCCCAACCCCCTAGCTCTTGAAAAATTATATTAAAATGTCCAAAGTGACTTCTTAATACCATAAAATTCCGAAAATAAGCCCCTCCAAATATAAGCCCCCCAATCCGGTAACGCACAAAACCCTCCGTTAAATCGCCCCTCCAAATATAAGCCCCAGCGGGCTTGTACTTCAAAAAATTGCCCTAAAATACAAAGTAAAAAAAAGCAAAAACAGTAAATTTACTTCCAACTACAAATCTAACCCAATCAATTTTGGAACGCAAATTTTCCTCCGAATATAAGCCCCTCCAAAAATAAACCCCTCAAAAAGGGCCTTTGAAAAATATAAGACCCGGGACTTATTTTCGGAATTTTACGGTATCTTATTATTATCTAATTACGATAAAGAAGCGGCTGCTAAGAATACAGCTATTTTGAGAAAGGTTGTCGGAAAAAATGTGCACGCGACAATCCCGAAAGGTAATATGGGATATGATCAATACACTCTTCCTGACACTAGCTGTAGTTGGCGAACCTACTTTTGCTGCTTTTCTGTAGCACTCGCAAACATACGTCCATGGCCTCTCATGCAACTCTTTCAAATTTCCTTGAAGAACTTGAGTGAACGCAAAACCACCCAAAATACCTTTCTCGAAATAGCTGTATATGTTTGAAAAGTTATTATTAATGTTGAATCATACCCAGCTGCCATTATATGGTCTAATGGTGCAATTAAGTCCATGAAATAATATTATACAGCCACGGCTCCCTCAGGAAGTGGACCCAGAAAAACCAATGAAGACAGATACTCACGTCTGTAAAATATCCGTTGTCTTCAAATTACCCCACTTTTTTGGCTGGATGAACTGCACTGAATAATAGTCAGACACGTACCCTTCCTTCAGTACGTAATATGCCCATCAAGGTACAGACACTTTTATTGGAGTCCTTTAAGGACAGTGAAGAGCTCGCCTACTTGAGTTGCCCTACCAAGGAAAGGATATTGAACCATGTTAATATTTCTACCCCATGACATCTATGGGCTGGCCAAGTTAGAAGAGAGCCTCACCCATGAAAAATTACAGAAGGCTTTTAAATTTGTCTCACAGTCACAACCTCACAAAGTAGAGGTATCCCTCTACTTTTAATTTGCGGTAGCATTCATAAAAGTGGTGAAATAGTCACATTTATTTGAACCTAAACTAAAAAGGTTAAAAATTAAAATTATGCTATTAAAATGATCAAGTCCAAGCTCTGCTGTTGTCTCTTGTATTGTCATTAATTCTTAATGACGAGTTCTGGGAATATGACTTTCTATCAACGGGAAGTAATAAGTGTTGGAGGTAAGTTTGTTTCAATTCTTTTAAATAGACGAGGTTTTTCCCTTCAAATGGGCATCAAATCAACAAAATTACTGACAAGTTCATATCCGGTCATTTTTTGATCCAAGCGCGGTGCGAAGCGCCGCTTGTGGGCGGGGCCGCATAGCTAAGGAAATTGGTAATCCAGCCATCCGAGAAAATTTTGTAACCAAGTGACCGTACACCGAGCGAGCGAGCGGCCGTGGCGTCCGCAACACCACAGGCATACCAATGTAAAATAACTCAATCAACTAGACTACGGGCAGTCTCTCTTTTTTCTTGGTCCGTCGAGCAAAACGTCCGAGACACGCAAATGACCACTAGCGTGGCTGAAGGCTTCGCCGCTCAACGCTCGCGCGCGCGTGCACTCCCCTTACTCAATCTGAAGAAAAAGAGAGGCTGCTCGCAGTCTACAATCAACAGGTATGGGAACCCAAATGCAACTCAAGGTTTTATTTGGAAGAAAATCACATGGCCACCCGGACTTTTAGAAAGAAAAAAGTCGTGTCTTTTTCGGCGTTATTTTTTATGTTTACACTAACGTGGATAACAGAGAAAGAGCTAGAGCGAGTTATCGAAAACAATAGAGACGAATTTCGTAGGAAGAAAAACATGGAAATTCAAAGCGACAGTGAGAAGATGGGAAATGCTAGCGGCCAGCAAGGTGAAAATGAGCGGCACTGAAAAATAAAAGCGAACATGAACACAGGAAACAAAATATTGGGTAAGCGCATACGACAATTCCTAAATAAAAATAATCTGTAATGTATCGGTCAAATCGAAGCTTCAACATCCCCCTCTCCCCGGCAACTCCCCAGGCATTTGACTTTTTTGAAAATTATTGTTCAAATTCCCCCCTACCCGGGCCAAAATGCCGTTCAAATGCCCCACACTAGGGTCCATTCAGGTGATCAAATGCCCCCACCCCGGGGACATTTCACAGGCACATAAATGACAGAAAGACGGCAGAAATGCCTTCAGTTGTCGAACAAAATCTTTATAAATACAGCAAATAATTCACATTCAATGTAACAAAAACTGAGAAACACTGTACGAACAAAAGTCTCGAGCAAAGCAGCGGAAATCACTGCTACAAGGTCACTGCATGCTCAGCTTTTCTTCGTATGTCATGCAACATACAAAGCGTTCTATAAAAAAAATACCACCTTGATTACTACATCATGACCATTTTACTGACCTGCATAATCGCGCACCTTATTAATTAACATACATGCGGTAGGTCAAAGTAATTGACCTCTGTTGGGCTTTTTATTGTATAGGTATTGTATTTCATTGTAAACACAACTTAATACATTCGTAGACTTCATATATCCAAATTCTGAATCCAATATTAAAAATATTAAAATTTAAATACCTTCAAATATGGCACAAAGCTTATTTCATACTGTCACCCCATAGGCTCAATGACGCGTGACATTATACAAAACTGGCTTTGATTGGTCGGCTTTATCAAGTTTCCTTTTTGCACTGTAGGAAAATTTCCATCAAACATTTCAGCTTCGGAGGACGTTTTACAAAATGAAAGCTGTGATTGAAGCAAACAATACATTCACCATAGACCTCCACAAAGCCCTCATAAATGATCAGAACTTCACAAGCAAAAATCTGTTTTACTCACCGAGTAGTCTGAGTATTCCTCTGGCTATGACTTACATGGGAGCGAAAGGAGATACAGCTGGACAGATGGCACAAGCTCTACACTGGAAAGCGATACCTCAAGGACAGCTACACAGTGAAGAAAAACAGTATCTTCATGCTCTTCAAGAAACAAACGAGCAAGGGAACGAATTGTTGGTGGCAAATCGACTGTTTGCGCAGAAGGGCTTTAGCTTGGTGCATGAGTTCGTTGAGGGCACGCAGAAGTATTACAAAGCCGAAATAGCCATGGTAGACTACCAGAAGGATGCTGAAGGCGCAAGGAAAGAGGTGAACGGCTGGGTTGAAGAGAAGACGAAGCAGAAGATTAAGAATTTAATTCCCGAGGGAGTGTTTAACTCGCGTACGAGACTGACTTTGGTGAATGCGATTTACTTCCAGGGTTTTTGGCAAAATCAGTTTGAAACAGGGATAACTTTTCCCCAGCAATTCTTTGTGTCCAAAGATGAAAAAGTGGACGTCCAAATGATGCACTTAACAGAAAAATTCAAGCATATTAAAGACGGCGGGGGGCTGACCTGTCAAGTGCTTGAGTTGCCGTACCAAGGAAAGGATCTTTCCATGTTAATTTTTCTACCCCATGACACCTTTGGGCTGGCCAAGTTAGAAGAGAGGCTCACCCATGAAAAATTACAGAAGGCTTTTAAATCTGTCTCACAGTCACAACCTCAGAAAGTATCGGTATCCCTGCCAAGATTTAAGCTGACCCAGCAGTTTCTTCTAAACGAGATTCTAGCCAGAATGGGAGTCACAGATATGTTCAATGAATATAAAGCTGATTTTTCAGGAATCACAGCAGGGCCAGAGAGGATCTATGTGTCTCATGTTATTCATAAGGCATTTGTGGAAGTTAATGAAAAAGGCACTGAGGCTGCTGCTGCAACTGGTTTGGTTATGATGGGCTGTGCAGGACTAGTGAGGAATCCCATCTTCTGTGTTGATCACCCATTTTTGTTTATGATTTGCCATAAGAAGTCAAATACAATTTTGTTCATGGGCCGAATGTTGAAGCCACCATCAAGCACTTGCTAAGCATTCTATGGCAAAGCAAAGAAGTAGAAATAACACAACCTCTTGCACTGGATTTAATAGATAAATAAATAAATAAAAATAAATAAATAGTTTATTTCACTTTCTTGCAGTTAAATAAATACTGAATGAACAAGTGATATATATGTATACAATCTAAAAAATACAACATAACTATGCTAGGAGTATACAATAAGTAATCAAGTTTAAGAAAAATCTAAAGGTGAAAAATTGTTGGCTCTCTTATAGTTCTTCTTAATTTGTTTATTGTTCTTTCACTACCAGATCTTAAATTATAAGAGACAGTTCTTGTTGCAGATTTGGGAATGAGGACTGATATTGGGTTATAATTTGTGTTTCCTAGTCATATCAGGGACAAATCGATGACACATTTGCTAGAGATGAGACATTTGCCTCTAAAAGGCCTTGATTATAGGCTGTGCATTCAGGATATATAATTTTGAGTGGTCTCTTTTGAATACAATCTATCCTATCAGACAAGTACTCTGGAATGTCCCACCGGACTTGAATCACATACTCTAAAATTGATCTTACGTTACTTATATACACTTTCAAGATGTCATGAGGGTTGATGCTTGGGCGTTTTAATAGTCTTAGGGCATACAGATGTTTTGCAGCTTTAGCAATGATACAGTCTACATGTGAATTCCATTTAAGATCTAGTTATTAATCATGGTACATTAATCATAGATCCAGCATATAAAAGAATGACCTTGTCAGAATCCATGCATCTCTTATAAAACAGTTCAAATCATCCTATGTGAATAGACTTATCTTTATCCATGATATTAATTATTCCTTGAATAAAATAGATGTATAATATTTTTTTATTGTTCTACGAGCTCTTAACTGTTTTTTATTTGTTTAACTTGTAACTTGATATGTGTATTTTTATCTTTTGAATTTATTAAAGACATCTATTCTATTTTATTCAATTCTATTCTATTCTCTATTTTTTTAAGCCACTTTTCTGCTGGCCCTAGACAATTTTATTCTGGGACTTTTTCTTCTCGAAGAACTGGTATCCTTTTTTTCTCCTTACTAAATTTATGAAATATCATACGAAGGAAAATTGCTTTCCTAGTCCCTGCCCCTGTTGGATTGCACCTCTATTTTATAATATGTTATTACTAATATTGTTTATTATGAGTTGGTGTAAAAGGTTCCAAACGTAACGGCATTATGCTGTCAAAATAAACAGCTCGTTGAACTTGCTACTGTTGGGGTTTTTTAAATTTTGGGTTAAATTCTCCATGAAAGTGCACCAGACATTGAGCAAGCTCCTCCTTTTACTGAAATAGATCATGGAATTCCTTAATTATTTGTTATGGAAAAAGAAGTCACCAGAGGGAGCCAACATGCCTAAATTGTGCTTTTTTTAGTATAGAAGAGTTCACCAAGCCGTTTGCAATCCTTCTGTCAGTTTTGTTGAAGCATGGTATCCTATACTTTCACCGGTTTTTCAATATTTTATTCCAATATCCACTGGCAACTAAGATTCTTTATTGTGTAACATAACCCACTTATAAAAATTTAGCGGAGAGATATGCTCTGGCAAGTTTCCTTGTGCATGTTTTCAACATTATGCACAGGAGAAAATGCATACTACTAATAAAATTTCCAAAGTTTTTGGTGGGGCATGGTAGCAAACCACACCCACACCCCAACCCCTTAGCTCTTAAATAAATATTAAAATGTCCAGAGTGGCTTCTTAATATCTTAATATTATCTAATCACAGTAAAGAAGAGGCTGCTAAGTATACAGCTATTTCGAGAAAGGTTGTCGGAAAAAATGTGCACGCGACAATCCCGAAAGGCAATAGCGGAGTTCCACGCGCGGCGCCTTGCGCCGCGCGTGGGTGGAGCCCCATAGCTAAAGAAATATGATAATCTACCCATCCGAGAAAATTTGGTAAACACGTGACCGTACACCGACCGACCGACCGTCCGTCCGCACCACAGGCATACCAATGTAAAATAACTCAATCAACAGGTATGACAACGCAAATGCAACTCAAGGTTTTATTTGGAAGGAAATCACATGGGCGCCCGGGCTTTTAAGAAAGCAACAACAACAACAAAGTCGTTGGGTGTTCGGCGTTATATTTTTATGTTTGCACTAACGTGGATAACAGAGAAAGAGCTAGAGCGAGTTACTGAAAACAAACGAGACGAACGTGGAAATTCAAACCGGCGGTAAGAAAATGAGAAATGCTAGCGGCCAGCAAGGTGAAAATGAGCGGCGGTGAAAAATAAAAGCGAATAAGAACACAGTAAACAAAACAGTGGGTAGACACATACGACAATTCCTCCATAAAAATTATGCGTAACTAGGAAGTTTGACGTTTTAGTCGTACAAAACAGCGTTACAGTCGTGCAAGACAACTGCAAGGGAAAGACAAAAAAGCGTGCGGCACGTGCAATTTTTTTTTTGCTAATTAGATCTATTAGTCTTGAAGCTATTTTCATTGTCGTCTCCGTCTAGCATTACGCGATTTAATTTTTTTGTCTAAGAGTATTATTAACCAGAGCTTCGCTTTTAGCCCTGGCTTAGTAAATCTACATATTATGGGATATGATCAATACACTGTTCCTGACACTGTAGTTGTCGAACCTACTTTTGCTGCTTTTCTTTAGCACTCGCAAACATACGTCCATGGCCTCTCATGCAACTCTTTCAAATTTCCTTGAAGAACTTGAGTGAACACGAAACCACCCACAATACCTTTCGGGATGGTCGTGTGCACTTCTCCCGACCTGACCTTTCTCGAAATAGCTGTATATGTTTGAAAAGTTATTATTAATGTTGAATCATACCCAGCTGTCATTATATGGTCTAATGGTGCAATTAAGTCCATGAAATAATATTATACAGCCACGGCTCCCTCAGGAAGTGGACCCAGAAAAACCAATGAAGACAGATACTCACGTCTGTAAAATATCCGTTGTCTTCAAATTACCCCACTTTTTTTGCTAGATGAACTGCACTGAATCCTAGTCAGCAACGTACCCTTGCTACAGTACGTATTATGCCCATCAAGGTACAGACATTTTTATTGAAGTCCTTTAAGGACAGAAGTTAGCTCGCCTGCCAAGTGCTTGAGTTGCCAGACCAAGCACCAGATATTGAACCATGTTTTTTTTTTTTTTTCTACCCCATGACATCTATGGGCTGGCCTAGTTAAAAGAGAGCCTCATCCATGAAAAATTACAGAAGGCTTTTAAATCTGTCTCACAGTCACAACCTCACAAAGTAGAGGTATCCCTGCCACGATTTAAGCTGACCCAGCAGTTCCTTCTAAACGAGATTCTAGCCAGAATGGGAGTAACAGATATGTTCAATGAATTTAAATCTTATTTTGATGGAATCACACCAGGGCCAGAGAGGATCTATGTGTCTCGTGTTATTCATAAGGCATTTGTGGAAGTTAATGAAAAAGGCACTGAGGCGTCTGCTGCAATAGGTGTGGTTATGATGTCCCCTACGGGACTGATGATGAATCCCATCTTCTGTGTTGATCACCCATTTTTGTTTATGATTTGCCATAAGAAGTCAAATGCAATTTTGATCATAGGCCACATGTTGAAGACACAATCAAGCACTTAGCTAAGCAATCCATGACAAAGCAAAGAAGTCGTAATAACACAGCCACTTACACTGGATTTACTGTTATTTTGTTTTATTTTATGCCACTTTTCTGTTGACCCAGACAATTTTTCCAGGGTTTTTTTTTCTTAATTTATTGAGTGGACGGCGCGGAAAGTTGTGTTATTTTTGACATTTTAAGCTAATCAAGATGATAACAAAACAATTTATTCTATTTTATTGTTTTCAAGCTTAGAAGACAGATCTTAGTAAGAAAGCTTCTTATACCGACAATTTCTTTTGATATTTATAGTTCATGTTCCTGTTTTAAAATTATAGTAAGTATCTGTTCATGTTAAGATTCGGAATGATTTTCATTATTGATTAATATTCTAGTGTGAAGCAAGACTAAGTGATTTCAGAAGCTGAACCATTACACATATTTGTAATATGATTCCTAGAAATGAACAGATTGCGGGAAGCAATTAATTGCCGCAAAAACTCATGAATTTTAATTTGCGGTGGTATCACAGGTAGCTCAAGCTCGAAATATGATAGCCTGCGTAGCAAGCGTTTCTTCGCGAGGTTCGTCTAGAAAACCTTTTTTTTGCTTCCGCTCTTACTTTCGCGCAATAACTCGATTGGAAACGCTCGCAACGCAGGCTAGAAATATGAGCATCGGCGAGCATCGGCATTGTTGCGTAACATTCAAAATATAAGGATTTGTATGGGGAAAAAACCCTATCGTTTCTGTAACCTACGAAAATGAAAGGATTTCAATAAAAAAACAGCTTACCTTACATAAAATGTGTGTTACGTCTCTCCTGTGTGGTCCACGGGCCGATTTATGGCTTTATATAGACAGAAAACCGTTTATAAAAAAACCGTAAAACGGCCATAAATCGGCCCGTGGACCACACAGGAGAGACGTAACACACATTTTAAGTAAGGTAAGCTGTTTTCATTGAAATCCTTTCATTTTCGTAGGTTACAGAAATGATAGGGTTTTTTCCCATACCCTATATTTTGAATGTTACGCAACAATGCCGATGCTCGCCGATGCTCATATTTCGAGCTTGCGCTACCTGTTTGTAAATATGTTTTAATTCTTTTAAATAGACGAGGTTTTTCCTTTCAAATGGACATCAAATCAACAAAATTACTGACAAGTTCATATCCCGTCATTTTCAAGGTTGACATTCCGTCTTTTAGGATTTGGGGCGATTTTCAGCCATTCTGTCTTTTAGGATTTAGGGTGATATTCCACCATTCCCCAATTTACGTTATAGTGTCGCCCCATAGGCTCCATGACGCGTGGCATTATGCAAAAGTGGCTTTGATTGGTCGGCTTTATCGAGTTTGCTTTTAAAACATGTGTAGCATAATTGTCAGCAAACATTTGACTTTAGGAAGACGTTTTACAAAATGGAAGCTGTGATTGAAGCAAACAATAAATTCACCGTAGACCTCCACAAAGCCCTCAAAAATGATCAGAACTTCACAAGCAAAAATCTGTTTTACTCACCGAGTAGTTTGAGTATTGCTCTGGCTATGACTTACATGGGAGCGAAGGGGGATACAGCTGGACAGATGGCACAAGCTCTACACTGGAAAGCGATACCTCAAGAACAGCTACACAGTGAAGAAAAACAGTATCTTCATGCTCTTCAAGAAACAAACGAGCAAGGTAACGAATTGTTGGTGGCAAATCGACTGTTTGCGCAGAAGGGCTTTAGCTTGGTGCATGAGTTCGTTGAGGGCACGCAGAAGTATTACAAAGCCGAAATAGCCATGGTAGACTACCAGAAGGATGCTGAAGGCGCAAGGAAAGAGGTGAACGGTTGGGTTGAAGAGAAGACGAAGCAAAAGATTAAGAATTTAATTCCCGAGGGAGTGTTTAACTCGCGTACGAGACTGACTTTGGTGAATGCAATTTACTTCCAGGGTTTTTGGCAAAATCAGTTTGAAACAGGGAGAACTTTTCCCCAGCAATTCTTTGTCTCAAAAGATGAAAAAGTGGAAGTGCAAATGATGCACTTAACAGAAAAATTCAAGCATATTAAAGACGGAGGGGGGCTGGCCTGTCAAGTGCTTGAGTTGCCGTACCAAGAGAAGGATCTTTCCATGTTAATTTTTCTACCCCATGACACCTATGGGCTGGCCAAGTTAGAAGAGAGCCTCACCCATGAAAAATTACAGAAGGCTTTTAAATTTGTCTCAAAGTCACAACCTGAAAAAGTAGCGGTATCCCTGCCAAGATTTAAGCTGACCCAGCAGTTCCTTCTAAACGAGATTCTAGCCAGAATGGGAGTCACAGATATGTTCAGTGAATTTAAAGCTGATTTTTCAGGAATTACAGCAGGGTCGGAGAGGATCTATGTGTCTCATGTTATTCATAAGGCATTTGTGGAAGTTAATGAAAAAGGCACTGAGGCTGCTGCTGCAACAGCTGTGGTTATGATGTCCCGCATGGCCATTCCCATCTTCAGTGTTGATCACCCATTTTTGTTCATGGTTTGCCATAAGAAGTCAAATGCAATTTTGTTTATGGGTCGCATGTTGAATCCAGCATCAAGCACTTAGCTAAGCAATCCATGGCAAAGCATAGAAGTAGTAATAACACAGCCATTTGCACTGGATTTATTTAAGAGTGACTATGTCCGATCCATGAGACTAGGGTTGCTCTGCATCTCTTATTTTGTTTTATACCTTTTCTATGCCACTTTTCTGGAGGCCCAGACAATTTCCAGGGATTTTTTCTTACCAAGGAAATGGGGTCTATTTTGAGCCTTACTAAATCATGTGACTGGTTGAATTCACTGTACCCACACCCTGTTCCTGTCGGATGCACTTCTATTTGGTAATTACTACTATAGGTTATGAGTTGGTGTATTAAATTCCAAAAGTAATGACATTAAACTGCTGGCATTAACAGCTCTTTGTGCTCACAACTTTAGGGGGTTGTTTAATTTTGGGCTTAACACTCCATGCTATAGTGTACCAAAGTTTATTTGAACACCTGCTGCATAAATGTGTCAGTCATACTAGCTTAATTTATTGGGCAAGCACGTTACCCAGCTCTCCTTGCTGTGGGAGTATTCATTCAGTCATGATGTCATTTGCTTGTCAGTGTAGTTGTTAAATATGACTCAATAAACTTGTTGCCAAAATATCTTCTTGTGGTCGTTGAAAATAAATGATTTATTGGGATAGAAAAAACTGTGCAACCTCCTACAGAAAATCATGGAATTCCCTAATTTTTCATTGAAAAGGATGTCACAAGAGTGAGCCAACATACCTAAATTGTGCTCTCCTTAGTATGGATGAGTTTATCAATTAAGCCACATGAATTCTTCTTTCTGAGTTTTGTAGGAGTAAGGTAAAACTATCCTTCTGCCAGTTTTTGACCCACTTATAATAAGTGGAGAAGTGATTTGGGAAATTTCTTTGTACAAGGTTTCAACATAATGCACAGCAGCAAATGCATAGTGGTAATTAAATTTTAAAAGTTTTGGTGGGATGTGGAAGCAAGCCACACTCACACCCCACTCCTTAGCTCTTAAAAATATGAAAACGAAATGTTCTGTACTTCTGGATATTTTGTATCTTGATATCTTGTTGGTTGGATTATTCTTTTATTATTTTTTCCTTGTAGTTTGAAAATTATAGTTGTGGTATAAGCTTATTATATTTTTTCACTGGCCAAGAGATTTACCACCATTAATTCTCCATGAAATAAATGCTAATTTAATTTATTTTCTATGGCCAGGTGGGTCTATCGTATCATTCTTTTTATATCGTAACAAAGGTGAGGTCACAGACAGCCAGATGTGTTGTCCATGGTGTGGTAATAATGAGCAAGCTATTTTTCTACCTATTGGCTGGTTTCAATTTTTTCATATTGCTGCCCTGTCACATGCAGCTTCGTGAGCTGATGCAATAGACATATTCCTAGTTAATTGTTCAGGAACCCTGTATTGTCCTTTGCCTAGTAACTAGGCCTCATTATTGTGTGTGGCCGATGTGTTTTGGGTCACATGGTCTGAGAAAGTGTTTGGATACATCACCGATATGCATTGACCAAGAAGGCCTGGGAAGACGCTGTTCATGCAGAGATCACCGTAAATGATCGATTTAGTGCTGCCATTCGAATGAGTGCTGCTCTTGAGTAAGTGCCGCACCTTTACCGAAAATAATTTATTTAGTGAGCGGCTCTTGAATGAATGCCGGGGGGCCATTTTTGGTATCTACAAATTAAGGCCCCACCTTTGATACAGCACTTAATCTAAAGAGATATAAAAACCATATCGCTTGAGAAATAAGACCCCATCCAACTAGTGAGTTCTAAAGTTTTAAGGTAGGGAAACTCAACTCTTGAAACTGGGTTCATATAACAGTTCAAGGTGTACATATCTTATATTAAATTGTGCATACCCAGTATGCACCTCACTTAATTCTCTCTATATTCCCCTCAGCGTTTTACCCGTAGTTGAAATAAGCGCCACTCTTGAATGAGCGCCACTCTCATATAAGGTGAGCGCGGCACCTATGACAGAGAAAATGAAATAAGTGCCATGGTGCTTAATCAATCAGTTACGGTAGGCAATATTGTTCTATGCCATTCAATGCACTCTATTCAATCAAAATCACATTAGTCACGCTAGCCTGTGTTACATGTATGTAGTTGTAACAATATACACATAAGCAGCTGACACCAATCCAAGACTTCCTTAGTTGTGTCACATTTCACACAATCCTCAGTGTCTCAACTACAGTAACTACAACAACTACTGCAACGACAATAACTACTATAATTAGAACAACTACAAGAACCAGAAGAACTACAACGACCACAGGAATTCCAACAGCTAGTAGAACTAGCACCACAAGACGCCAACTGTGACTTAAGCCATCTGTGTCTGGACATTATACGTAAGGCTTACATGAGGTACAGATCTCTGCGTGTTTCATAGAGATGATTCTCCTTCGGATTATTTTCTCTCTGTTATCTATCGTTTTAGTTTCGTCCGAACCACATTATAATGAGAATGTAGGACACATTATCGAAAGCATTAATGATTTTGGTTTCGATCTGTTAAAGATTTTCAGCAAAGATAAGAAACTGAAAGATGAGAACTTATTCTACTCTCCGACTAGCATTTCGCTTTCTATCGCCATGGTGTTTTTGGGAAGTAGAGGAAACACTGCGAGACAGATTGCCCAGGCTTATAAGTGGTATAAACACGAGTATGAAGATGTACACTTGGCTTTAAAATCTCTACAGGAGGCAATTCTAGAAACGGGACATGACAATTTGGAGCTAAAGATCGCGAATCAAATCTGGGGACACAATGAGTTGGAGGAGTCAGCTGAATTTAAAGAGAATTCCTTGGAATTTTATAATTCTCCCATTGCAAAAGTCGACTTCAAATGGAGTTCAGAGGAGGCGAGAAAGGAGATTAACAACTGGGTTGAAAAGAATACCGCCGGGAAAATAAAGAGCTTTCTTCCACCCGGAAGTGTTAATCAAGATACGCGATTGGCGTTAATTAATGCAATTTATTTTAAGGGAACGTGGCAGCATGCTTTTTTACAGGAGAGAACTTATCATGCTCCGTTTTACACATCCAGTGACCTCAAAAATATTTTTGAAGTTGAAATGATGTCACGCACTGCGAAACACAGCTACTTCATGGATGAAGAAAAACAATGTAAAATTTTGGAGCTTCCTTACAGTGGTGGAGAAATTGCCATGTTTATTGTTCTTCCTCATGAGATCAATGGAGTGTCCGAGCTTGAAAAGATGTTAACAACTGACATAATGTTTCACTGGGTCAACTCAGTTGAAAACACAACAGTTGAGATGTCTCTTCCTAAGTTCATTCTGAGTCAGCACTTTGAGTTGAAGGAAGTACTGTATAAACTTGGTGTTACAGACATCTTTGAGCCTGATTTATCAGACTTGTCCGGGCTAAGTTCAGTGGAAAGGCTGCATGTGTCCCATGTAATACACAAGGCCCATGTGCATGTGAATGAACAAGGAACAGAAGCTGCCGCAGCATCTGGGGTACTTATTCAGAAGAGATCCATAGACCCTCATCCAGAGTTCTATGCCAATCATCCATTTTTGTTCTTTATATACCACAAGAGTTCACATGTTATTTTGTTTATTGGTCGTGTCAGTAGACCTCAGATGACTGAACAGGAAAGTGCTGAGACTGGTGGTGATGCTGAAATACCTGATTTTGGTCATCCTATTGATGAGCTATAAGCTTTGTTTTTTTGTTTAGTTTTACATTCAAACCATAGTCAGATAATGGATGTCATAGGGGGTGTCAACCTATGTATCAGTCGAAGTAACGAAGACAGGAAATTCCAGTCAAAGTGGCTAACTTTGTGGCCGTGGCTAGTGTTTGAAAAAGATGCCATGTTTCATAAGATTTGCCTCAAACATGGCAAAAAAATACTATAACCTCAGTTGCAATTTAAATATTAAGTATTAAAAACTGTCAAAATACTCTGTACTTAATGTAAAGCACATTAAAAATACACAAAATACTGCACACGCTACCACGAATTGCTCATATCATTACCGTCTTCCTTCGTTCCTTTCTTTGATCCCCCGTTGCACCCCTTGATGTCAGTGGCCCATACTTTCATGAAATGGCCCATAACTTTTCAAAGTCAGGGGCCATTGGCTCATTTGTGTATTTTCCCTGGCCAACACTTAGTTGAGACTCGTTCAAAACTCATCTGATACTTGACTGACACTCCACCAATATAGCGACCTATATGTCAACCGACAGTCGTGTCGGCTGATACCGTAAAATTCCGAAAATAAGCCCTGGGGCTTATATTTTTCAAAGGCCCTTTTTGAGGGGCTTATTTCTGGAGGGGCTTATGTTCAGAGGGGCTAATTTACAGAGGGAAATTTGCATTTCAAAATCGATTGGGCTAGCCTTATAGTTGGAAGTAAATTTACCGTTTTTGCATTGTTTTACTTTGTATTTGAGGGTAATTTTCCAAGACTTAGTACAAGCCCCCGAGAGGCTTATATTTGGAGGCGCGATTTAGCGGAGGATTTTTTGCGTTACCCGTTTGGGGGGCTTATATTTGGAGGGGCTTATACATGGAGAGGCTTATTTTTGGAATTTTACGGTATATCAGTTGACACCCCCTATAAGACACATGATCCCCAAAAGACTGACAAAAGTGACATGCAATGACAGAAACATTAGCTTGTCACTCTTTTACAGTATGTGATATAAATAAATATTATATCGTTGTAAGGGAGTGACTTACCCCCGAATGCTTGGGTCACCAGCTTTCCACTGATATACCGGAATGTCATTGAAATGAAAATTGCGAAATAAAATAATTATTTGGGATTTTGCTCCATACATTAATTTTTTACTGAAACTTTCTCTAGGACACACAATGTTGATTATTAAATAAACATTCCTTAATATGGGTCTGAACAGGGGTTTGTTATTTCTGGGCCACATTGTAAATTCTCTCATTTCTACATTTCTGTTACCATGCTTGCTAACTTGAAGGGGATTGTGCGACTGACTAGTCCAAGTTAACCAAAGCACACAAATAACAATGTCTGCAATAGAGAAACCTCTATAGTTAACACTGGTGTCTGAATTTCTTTATTAATTGTCTCTAAAAAGCGATCAAACATTGGAGCTTGTCCTCAGAATATCTGCTGTAGTGAGACTTCGAAGAGCTCCTGCAGGTGAAGGGCCAATACTAATGTCTATCAACATCATCATCATCACTCTCTGAACTACTATTATCACTTTCACTCCTCTTACGATGTTTCTTTTTCTTGTGTCCACTGTGGTGTTTGTGTTTTTTCTTAGACTTTCGGTGATGCCTGTGCTTGTCTGAAGAATGATGCATGTGTTTTCTGTTGTCCAGTATCTCTTTTGATTCAGAAGGATGTCTGTTGTCTTTGTTATGGTTTGCTGTGCTGTCATTTCCTTCAATGCTTGGAGAGAGTCTGGAGGGAGAGATATTCATTCTTTGTATGAATGAATGGGAGAAAAACCACCTACCCCTCCCCTAAGCTAACATTTTGTCCTAAGTGAGAAGTGAGGGTTATGTTGTCTTAAGGGAGGGGTAGGTAGGCAGTTTCCCAGAAACGTATAAGATGATCCGAAAAACCTGGGATGGAGGTTGTTTAGTACCAACATTGAAATATTATTTTTGATAAATAATGATATAAAACAACCCAAGAATTGCAACTGACAGAGGACCAACCAGTGCTTTTATCAAAAAGAAAATAGGAAAGTTGAACTCGGAAGGCTTAAAAAAAAAAACTGCAATAAGTAATCACGGTGTGGATTGAACTCTGGACCTATCTCAACAACAGCACCATTCCAAGGCTGTACTCCAAGAAGATTTGAAGGGAGCCCAGTGCTTTGAATCTGTGAATCCCAGGGTGTTCAGTAATATTAGGATTTCTATTAAAAAGACTAAGATTTCCTTATTGCCCAAGAGTATAGGTAAGTTGTTAGGGGAAACAGGGCACTGCTAGTGAATGGCCCTGCATTCATCCACTACCTCTCAAAAGTGCAAACTCTGATATGCTCACTCCCCAACCATGAGGCCTTTCAAGGGGGCTGTGCTGTCACTTCCTCAGTCATTTCTGACACCACCTGTCACCAGGTAGGTTAGGAGAAAAGGTCGCTGTTGATTGAGCATAATAATTACTCAGTCTGGAATTTGCTGCAGATGTAGGGCCAGGAAATAATATTATTAACCTTTCTCTCTCGAGGGACCGTTCTTAAACAATAAGAAAAATTTCAAACAAAATAACAGAAAATGTTTGGAAATAACAGAAGGGAGTTTTCTCCACCAAAACAGCCAAAATGAAAAAGAATGCTGCTTTCACTACTTGAAAAATGGGATTGTTGCTGTTACAATTCTCTCCTCCTTTTCTGTTGATTGTTGGTGCTTCCTGAGAGGATTGTTGCCAGTTTTTGGGGCCGTTTCGCCTGTCACTTCTACCCCTTAGAAGGCCTCAATAATGCTTGATGTTAGCTCCTACAAGCTACATTATGTACACATGTAATACTTACCTGTCTGATATCTGTCGATCATCTGGATCACTCTCATCACTGCTGTATTTCCTTCTACTCCTCTTTTCATGCCGTTCCGATGTTCTACTACGTTCTCTATCCTTACTGTGCCTACGATGCCTACCACGCCCATCATCTCTTTCACGGCTCCAGTCCCTTTTACGATGCCTCCTATGCCTGTCCTGATCCCAGTCTCTCTCACGTGATCTGTCTCGGCTCATATCTCTGTGTCTGCTTCTCTGATCTCGTCTCCAGTCTCTCTCAGATCGTTCAGATCCCCAGCCATTGCGAGGAGTACGACCTGGAGAAAGTTCATCTCTGTGGCTGAATTCATTGCCTGGATTGTGATACACATGCAGGAAGTTACAGTTCTTGCCTCGAGGGCATCGGTTTCTTTCAAAGAGACCTGCAAAAAACACAAAAAAAGTGATAAGAAGTGATGCCTACCCTGGGTGCCTGAAGTGTTTTTTTTCTCGCATGCAGCTGAATGGTTTGGTGTCAGTCAAAGGCTGACAGATCTTTGGTGAAAGGCTGAGGTCACAAGTGGCAAAGCTGCAAAAAACTTTTCCCTTTTTGCGCAGGTCACTATAAAGGCTTGACTGCAACCAGAAATTGCTCATGAAAAGTCTCTGGCACCAAGGGTAAGTGATACTGCTACAAAAGCTAAATTGGTGAAATTATGGGATAGGCTGGTATATCTACAGAGAACAAAAAATAAGCCTGGATCGTAATGTTTTAGAAGGATTTGTATGGAGTCATCAGAGCATAACAGATAGTACTTTTATCTCCCTGCCAATTTGCACTAACAGGCTCATTTTTGGCAAGTGTTCAAAACATATTTCAGCTTGTTCTTTCTGGATGTGCCAGCCTATTCTATAATATCACAAATCTGAATTTTTGTGAAGTCACACTTCTCTTTTCTAAAGGAGGAATAAAGCATAAGACAAAGCCATTCTTACAAGAATCTTAGCCTTCTTGCGACCACATTTTCTGGCCGCTATATATGGCTACTTATTATGAGGAACATTCGCATACAAGGTCAAGCGAATGAATGTTGAAGGAATGTAAGAAAAGGAAAGAAATCAATGGCTAAGGATTGAATCTTGACACCTCTGCTTCCAAAAAATAAACAATCACTCAGGCAAGAAAATGTGCCAGTAAAGGGGAAGTCATTAATTAACAGATTTGAGTTATGGAGATGAGAGTTTAAACAGCAGTAAATACCAGGTGAGTACTGCTTACTATTATTTTAACAACCGGATAGGAAATTCATGTATCAGGGAGAACCAGACATACCACAAATTGCTGACTTCCACTTTGTTACTGGAGAGTATTCACAGGATAGCTGCTTTGATGCATACCAGCGAGCATTAAACATTGCAAAGGCTTTAGCACACTCCTCTTCACTATCAAACAAATAAAAATGACAAGTTTAAAATCTTCACATGAACTTTCCATGACCCTCACTTAAATTCAATGACTGTTCATGGCTGGAAAATGAAAATCTCAAGATGCACAACCTTCCAGGTTTTTTCTGCGACCATATGAATCTGAAAACACTAGGTGGCATTTACCGGCTAAACTGCACGTAAACATTCCCTCTTAAGTGTGGCTCATGATTGCAACAAACCTAAAATAACCAATAAAAAAATTTAATGACCAATTATTAATCTAACATGAAACAGCTTTACTTCTCAAAACCGTAAAATGCATGCTCTATTAATTTATTTTAGGCTGTTTTGTTACATTATGTTCTGATTTATAATCTAGAAGTATCTTTCAATTTTCATTTAACTGTTTTTACAATAAATATCAAATGTGATTAAAATGTTCCTTGTACAGTAAAAATTGTTTTCCCCTTACTCCCGGCTATTTTCTTTGAGTTCTGGATAACTCAAACATTTTTGATTTCCCTTGCAGGTTTGAGTTATAGAGTGTTTTCATATGACATCACGGCGGCCATATTAGTGTCCCAAAACAATGAAACGGCAGCCATGTTGGTGTCCCAAACAAGTCCTGTGGGAGTTGAACTCTTTTCTTATGTAAACGCTTTCTTTTGTTCCAATAAATTTGCATAGATGCTGGCCACGTGAGTGAAAATGCTCTACTGGGTGTTGGCTGTATTTAGTGGAGCTGAACCCAATAATGGAATAAAATTATTGCACAAAGTTTAGACAATCTA